GATGGAGCCTTGTCATTAAGGGCTTTGTATGTTAGGAGAAGGATTTTAAATTCTATTCTGAATTTTACAGGGAGCCAGTGGGGAGAAGCTAATATGGGAGAGATATGATGTCTCTTGCTAGTTCCTGTCAGTACTCTGGCTGCAGCATTTTGGATTAACTGGAGGCTTTTTAGGGAATTATTGGGATATACTTATAGTAAAGAGTTACAGTAGTCCAGCCTGGAAGTAACAAATGCATGGACCAGTTTTTCAGCATCACTTTGGGACAGGATGCTCCTGATTTTTGCAATATTGCACAGGAGAAAGAAGGCAGATCTAGAGACTTGGATTTTGTGTGATTTAAAGGACATATTCTGATCAAAGATGACTCCAAGGTTCCTCACAGTAGTACTGGAGGCAAGAGCTATGTCATCTAAAGTAACTATATGATTAGACAGCAGATTTCTAAGGTTTTCAGGCCCAAGCACAATAACTTCAGTTTTGTCAGAGTTTAGAAGTAAGAAGTTGCAGGTCATCCAGGCCTTTATGTCTTTAAGACATGCTTAATATAGTAACTACATGTAATCTATACACTCACTGTATTCTATTACATATTGCATATTAACTGTAGCTTGTTTGTTTTAACCACCACAGTGTATAAATGCATCTTTGCACATGGACTCGTGGATGTTTGTCAGCTCTTAACTGCCTCTTCTTGTTTCCCTTCACGACATCTCTGTCTGTCCTCACTGTCAGGAGAGGAGGATGATGCAGATGCATCCCTACATCCTGAACATCAACGAGGATGCTCAGCTGTCTGGGGTGATCAAGCTTTTCATCCAGGAAGGTCTGTCTGTCTGAATTCGTCTCTTTGTATTTGCTGAAAAGCTCCCTCTCAAGTTCAGTTAACCTTTTAGAGAGAGGTATTCACTATGTTGATTACCACCCATTAGTGCTATTTTGTCCTACAGGTGAATGGGAGGTCGGCCTGTGTGACTCCTCTCCAAGGTGCATCTCTGTCAAGGGGCTAGGGTGAGTTTTCATCAGGGAACGACAGAACAGCACAAACCCAGCGTGTGTGAGATTAGAGACACCAAGATGTCTATGCATGACATCTACAAGTAATATGAATAATATACTGGCTGTTTTCTTTCATTCCACCCAGTGAATGCTGGGATAGTCTGCAGGCCCTGCGACCATTTTAAAGATTAAGCACGTTAAGATAATTATATGTATATTTTTTCAGGCTTAATGTTCAGACGCAACTGTTGCTTATTAGAACTGTCTTTTTGTGCATCTCTGAGTTTATACGCCCTCATTTGTGTTTGCATGTGTGTGATTGTTAGGATCCAGGAGCGTCATGCTGTGTTTAAGAATGAACAACGCCAGGTAACACTGACCCCACTGGCAGGGTCAAAGGTCACTGTGAATGGCAGTACTGTTTCCGAGACAACTGAGCTGCAGCACTTGGTTGGTCTTAAACACACACTTCCTGATATGACTGCGTGAGCGGCTGTTAACTACACACATGATTTTTTTCTCAGCGTTTTCTCATCATCTCCCTGTAGGACCGCCTCATTCTCGGCTCCAACTGCACCTACCTGTTCATTGGTTTTCCCTCTGAGAGGGGCGTGGACGACTGGAGCCGCTACGACTATGACTTCTTCCAGTCTGAACTGGCGGCTGCTGAGGGCATCCACCTGGGTGAGTGGGGAAAATCAGTAGCTGGTCGTAAAGGAAGATTACTTTCTGGAGAAAACTGATTCACGTGTTTTGTGTTCAGGTGAGTCCAGCGCTGGGTCCAGTCAGACAGACCCCAGTCTGCTGGCTGTTTTCTACGACTACATCGAACTGATGCCCATGGTAGCTGAAGCCAACCAGATGAGCCAGGAGCTTAACAAGGTGACATGGAGCTGATGTGCTGCAGATGTTCAGATTCACTCACACTGACGTTGTCCCTTCTCTGGTTTTTATGAAGCCTACAGAAACAGTCCCTTTCTGTTAATATGTTCTTACTGCAGGCAGTTATAGTTCATGTATAAGAAATGAAAAAACACCAGCTTTTTATTGTCTGTCATATTTGGAGGGGGTGGAATTTAAGTTGGAGATCAAGAATCTGGCATTGTCAGATCCAAAAGGACACGACCTAGAGAAGGAGACTGTGGTCAGAGTCACCTCTGTGGGTAAAAAGCAGGTCAGTTTGGCTGTCTGTCTTTGTCACTCTCAGACGCATATGCATGTTTTTTAAATTGAAACTTCAATTTAGGTTTCTTGAAATTTTATTTTTGATGACTTTTTCACTGCCTCCCCAGGTGTGGATGTGGTCCAAGGCCAAGTTTGTGAACCGTAAATTTCTGATGGAAGAGGTCTACCAGCAGCATCAGGCTGAGCAGAGTGGAGACAGTGTAAGTAAATGGAAAGAACATTGCTTATGTTCTTTTTTTGTTTTTTAGAAATTTGAATATTATACAATCAAAAATTACAACCATAACTCAAACAATACAACTCTTAGCAGCACACCTAGAAGCCAGTGGTAGAAAGTAACAAGGTACTTTCACTTAAAGTCCCCATGGGTGTTCATTTTGCGTTTCCAGCCATTTAATGTTTAATCTTGGGTACGTCTAGATTAGCTTGGCACCCCTCATAACTCCAAATAGTTCCTAATTGTTTCAGAGTCAGAGAGCCAAAAAAAAAAAAAAAAAATCACTGTTCTTACTGTCAGAGAGCACAGGGCCCGTGTACATCTGCTTTACCCAGAGATAAAGACCCATTCTGGGATCCAGTGGAGCCTCTGCTGCTGGGCACCGCTCACCTCTGGCTTCAGTCTTTGGCCTTCCGCATCCCTCTGGAAGAGCAACTGGAGGTACACACGCACACACGCGCACACACACACACACACACACACACACACACACGACAGATGGTGATGACTGGCTGATCATCTCTGTCTGCAGGTGTTGGGGTCAGATGGCAGAGAGGAGGCCATTCTGCAGGCACAGCTCGTTCCATGCAGCTCCACTGGACTGTACGCATCACACACACTGTGAATAATCTTAATAAGCACACAGATGTACAGTATATTAGTAAATAATATTTCTCACTTTCCAGCCCACTGGCTGAAGATGACATCCTGATCGACCCGTGTGAGTTACTGGGTCGACGACTGGACTTCCAGCTGATCCTGGAACAGTTTTGTGGTCTGCACTGGATCAGAGAGGCCCGCAATAGAGGGGTGCAAATTGGGTGAGGCATACGGGGGAGGAAGGCACTGATCAGAGTCTGAAGTAAGGGGAGGGTGCAGAGAATTCTTACAATATGTTGCAGTCCAAGAACTGGAGGTGAAGATGGGGCACAGCAGAATTTTAGCATTTAGTGGAAATAAAACATGGCTTGACTTTGGTTACATGAGTTGCCTTATTTTTACCTTTGGATTTCTGGGTTGAAGATTTGACATGATTCTGATCTCTGTGGCATTACCTGTGAAACTGCAACAGGAGACTAATTTTAATATTTATGCAAGGGACTGAGAGCAAAGTCTCGAGCTAGAAATCAGTATCACTGACCTGTGGATTCATACTGCCACAGCTGAGATATTGTTCTTTGTTCTCCCCCTCATGCACTAGTTTCAGGTTATTTGACTGCAGCCAGCCTCTCTACACTCCAGCTGTGTGGCACAACATCAACCCCCTGTTGGATTACAGAGTCCACTTCGCCTCGTTGCACACCTCCCGACGTCTGCTAGACTACCTGCAGAGCAGCGCTGTTGTGCTGGAGCTCTGGGGTCTTCAAGGTGAGAATGGAGACGGGGATGGATGTTTGGACAATACTCTCCATAGGTTTTACTCCAATTTTAGTTTAAATCAAAACACAAAGTGATAAAGCGTAGACTGGGGATGGCTCTGTGTACAGTACTTACTATAAGTTGGGGGCCTCCAGTTTACAAGCTTCAGTAAAGAAGTTGCATATAAAACATAGTTTGGATTTTATTTATGAATCTGCTTTATTATACAGAACAGGAGCCGCCCAAACCAAGTCCTCTAGTACCATATTTTAATAACGAAATGAAGTTTGAGTGAGATAAATTTAAATTATAATTTAATCTTTGACAGCGATGTTCTGCTTATTCATGGTATTATGTTCAAATCATTGCTGTGAATGTACAACAGACCAAATGAGCAGTCAAAAGTATCATTAAAACCACTGATGGTGGTTAGTTTTTTTTTGTCTCAGAGGGTTCTTCAGACTTGACCTCGTCTTTGGAGGGAATGAGGATGACTACAGAGGGAATCTTCATCATCGACGAGACGGGTCCAACAAATGCAGCAGTGAGTTTAATGTCAAGTCACTTTGACCTGTTTCTAAAACTACGGAAGAGACGTGCATTCTAACTTGTGTATTTAAGTAACTGTAACAGGACAGACTTGAGTAACTAGTATTTGGTTTTCATAACTTTCCTATAGGACATAATGGGTAAGTAACTTTAGTGCACAGGTACAGCGTCTTTTCTTATTCAAAGATCAATTAATAAGGCAAAATTTTCAGTCCCAATAAATGTGTGTTTGTGTTGCAGCCTGCAGACAAAAAAGCGGTTCAGTGAGAGCTCTTCTGCAGGACTTGGAGGAACTAAAGAGCGTTAATGCATCACTGAGAAAAGAAAATCATAGTCTGAGAGAGCAGCTCAACACAGCCAGGAACGGTAACTAACACACACAAAGGCTGCAGTCAGTTTGTTTCCATTGCAGTTCACTGAAAACACAAGTCTGCAACTTTTAAGTCATTCACAGATTGGGCATAAACCTGCTAAATGGCAAAATGTTTCCAAGTGATTGATTAGTTGTTTTGTTCTGTTTCAGGTGGGGAGAGTGTGCGCGGCCGGTCTGTGCGCCCCAGCTGTGATGCAGAGTTCGCCCGTGCGCTCAAGGTTTTCTACCACAGTATGACCTCAATCCGGGCTCAGCTACAGCGTCTGCGCAGACACAGGCCAAGTGTGAGTATCTATGTGTCTGCAATGGTAGTAGCAGTAATCAGAATTACTGTTAATATAAGATGATTCACAAATAAATGGACAGTGAAGAAAAGTCTGTGCTGAATGTTTCATCAATTTACTGACTTTAGTTGCTTAAAGACTGTCCTGTGGCCCTGGCTTATTTTTGTCTTTGAAACTGGTTTTTCAGAATGGATGGCAAAGTCAGGGGAAGAACTTTAAAAGCAGTTTGACAGATTTGTACTGAATCAGTTCAGCTCCGCACTGACGATAGCTGTAGCCAGGCAACGTGTTATGTTGTCTGTCCGTCCCCTTCTCGTTAACACAGTACCTTAGCAACACCATGAGATTTCTTCAAATTTGGCACAAACATACACTTGAACTCAAGCAAGAACTGATTTGAGTTTGGTGGTTAAAAGGTCAAGGTCACTGACCTCAGGTCCATTCCATTCTCATGTACAAGATATCTCAGTAATGCACTGAAGGAATTCCCGTCTGTAAACTGTTGTTTCCAGGAGGAGTCTGACCTGCTGGGGCTCCGATTGTTTGCAAATGAGCAGAGTCATCTGCTGAGAGACTTCTCAGAGCAGCTGGAACAGTGTGTGTCCACGCTAAAACAAGATGTTGCCGCCATTGTCCGCCGGAAACGAGAGCAATCGGGAATCTGGTCATGACTGATAAATTGCCTGCTGATTTCATCAAGTAACAAGGTGAATGTGTCCAGTTTATTTTATTGGAGAGTTTTCTAGTGAGTGGTGGGTTCAAAATCGGTCCTATTTGACATAATTAGATTAATCATTCTCCAAAGGACCAGCAACACTGTTTTTCTTTAAGAAGGGTCAGATGTGTTCTCTCTAGGTGGGGTAGCAAGAGTAGATACAAGTTTAGTTTCACATAATCAACACACTGACAAAAACAGTGAAGACTATAAAAAGGTTTATTAGACTGCATGTAAAACAATCCCAAACAGCAAATAAATTAAGTGACAAATACAACTCAAGTTTAAGAATTCACAATATTATGCTTTAGAGCCATCAGTGATGTCATTTTCAAGCTCCTGCAGTTCATTCTGAAGCGCATCAGAAATCAAGGCTCTTTTTCCTCATTATGGCTGTGGGGAACTGGTAGAGCTATTTCATAGGAGAGGTTGATAGTGTCTCACTGCAATGTCCAGTTCCAAGGCAAACGCACAACTGTCAGTTAGGACTTGTAACAGTTTAAACAGTTGCTGTAGGTCCAAGAAAAGAGGAGTGACGGCACATTTACAGGTGCGGCAGAGGCAGGTTAGTCATCACATAGGACAGAATATGTACAGCAGACAGGAGGAGGGAGGCAGCCATGAGAGGCCAGAGAGTTAGCTGTGCATTTGAACTGAAGAGGTAGACATGAAAACACAAAGCCAGATGTGGGCAAGAGAGACAACCCACTGGTGTGTGCGTCAGTAACCAAGGTAGAACCTATGACTCGGTGTTGACTTTTTTTTTTCTTTTACTTTTCCACAACTGTCCAAAACTGTGTGTGTTCAGGCAGAGAGAAGGCTGAAGGTGCAGTTGAGGTAGGTTAACTGGATCTCAAGGGAAAACGGTAGATCATCATCTGAACTATGCACTTCCTGTAACATTTACTGAACAAATGTAAAATAAATGTCTGTGTGTAAAGAACAATGACTGAATGCTGCTTCTTCCAGTTGACTGCACCTCCCTGGGCCAGTAAGAACACATGAGCACGGAGCATGTACAGTAGCAGTTTCAGTACATATCAGGTACAGTAGTGAAACTTACTAAGAGAGAAGTACTCCAACAAAAACCACAGCCCACTTCTCATCCACATGGTATCTATTGCCATTAAGTTTGACACTCCAGTCAGACCTCAAGGCTTTGCCAAATTTGTTAAAATACTCTAGTTCTAGGCAAAGAAAGGTGCCACATGTTACACAGTTAAGTAAAAAAAGGTGCCAAACACCATTCAGGCATAACATTAAGGTCACCTGTACATCTGTATGCACTTCTGCTCTAACATCTGGATGTGAAGCTCAAAATGTTTGATTTGCTGAAACTGTCAAATGTATACATTCAATTATGTTTATTATTTAGTTAAAGGTGGTGTTGTACTGGACTACATTATATTTCTAGGTGTGTCTATATTTTTGTCCTGCCCACTGACATACATGAGAGGGTCAGAATATTAGGAACAGAAGTGTTGCATTAAAGTGCATATAATTGTACAGGTGCAACTATTAATATGCCCGGGCAGTGTATTAACAGTATTCATGCACATCTTGTGAGATCATAGTGGACAGAAATGCCAGTTTCTCCTTAATGACTAGTGCTAGTTCACCAAAACTTTCACTGAACAGCGTCAATGATTTCTCCAAAGTCAGAGAAGGTGGGTTTGTTCTTGTTGGCTGAGCCTGTCTGAGTTGAGCAAACAGGAGCCAGTTGCTGCGTAAAGGTAAAGGTGGGGTTGGCGATTCTTTTCATCCTGATGGCAATGATAACATAAAAAAAAGCCATCTGCTGTCGCAGCAGGACTGGAGAAACCTCACCAATAACTTTACTCGTCTCAGGCAAAGCTGCTGGACAGCCTACCTGCCCGCCAACCTAACCTCCTACTTGCACCTGAGCCACGATTCTCCACAAGGCCTTGCGGTTGCAGGCAGACCCGTGACCGCTCTGTTTTGATAGCTAAAGCTAGCGAGCTATGGCACAGAAGGTACCCACAGCAGCTTTCATTTGCAAATGGAGACTTGTTGAAGTTGCTACCTGTATGTAGTGTGAGAAGACCACCGCATGGGACAGGCTACTTTTACATTCAGCTACATGTGGGGAAAATACCAACAGCAGTCAGCTCTACGTGTATAGTTAGGATTGTAATTCAGTTAAGTGGGCATCAAAGGCCACATGCAGTGTTCGTGTAACCATCATGGAATAGAGCCCGTGTTTTGAACGGAGTCAGCCGGCCTCCCTCTTCACTTCTTCCCTGCTGGAACAGCCCAGAATTGCCAACCCCACCTTTAAGTAAACATATTTTTTCAGCTTTCAGTGAAACTGAATCTACAAGTTAAGTTCACTGACTGAACTGTGTTAGCCTTTAGCCACACTGCTAAAAAAAACATAGCACGCACTGGAACATTCTCCATCTTCACAGAGTAAAACACCTAGACACAGATTGTATCTGCAGAGGGCAAATGTTACCTTTACAAGGCATGAGCAGCATCCTGACAATACTCTCCTGTGAGATTGATGACTGCTCAGGCGCTGGTTCCGTCATTCTCTACATTGGCTGTGGTCCCGTGGGTAATGAGGGTAGGTAGGGCCTCAGATGCGTTTGGCTGGCTGTTGCACCTCGAGTGGCCGTCTATATGATGGAGACTGCTGTGAGTAGAAAGTGGGTGGTTGAGACGTGGTGTGCTGCCACGGAAACTGCGCTCCTCTGTACCTCTGTAAACCATAGTATCGCTCCTGACAGGCGGAGAAAGAAAGGAGAGGAGAAAGGATGAGCTTTTTCTGATTCACATCATCTGACAGACAGAAAAGCAGAACGTCAGGGATTTCCTCGACCTGTTGTCTCGCGTGCGGCGCAGGCTGCCATGGTAGCTGGCTTTGCTGTGGACGCTGCTGGCCTTACTCCTGGTGGAGCCGGGGTGGCCATGGTGAGTTCTGACTGGCTCATCAAAGTCATCTAGGACAGCCAAGTGGGTGGAGGAGGCGTGGGTGGAGGTACCCTACAGGGGGACCACAGGTTAGACATATGTAATAATATCACCTCTGGTGAACTGACCTGCCTTTAAAGCACAACACACACAAATGAATTTCCCTAACATGATGATTTAACAAAAGGTGTTAGGAGCTCAGACAGACATCACTTAATTTTTCTGTTTGTGGATTATAAGTGTTGCTAGTTCTAGTGAAGGCCCATGTTCAATCCATAAAGAGTCAAATCAGGGTTAATTTATTTTTCTCAAATGCACTGCAGTACCTACTAGTAGTGCTACTTGAACTGTTGATACTACTACTGCTTATCCTGTTGCTTCTACAACTAGCATTACAATGACTGATCACTGCTGTGCTTGTCCTACCTGAGTAGATGTTCCTCTGGACTTCCTAATAATGGGGGTGTTGGGTTCACGCAGCAGGGACTGGGCAAAGTCTGGCTGCTCCTGCAGTACCTGGCGAGACTCATTCACCCCACTGCTGCAGAGAACAGAGGGTGATGAAGGAGAAGATTTAAGGGGTAATAGGAGATGGAGAGGGATGGTGGAAGAGAGAGAGTAAGGCAATAAGTGCAGAGGTGGAGAGAGCCAGTGGGAAAAATAAAAACTTGGTTCAGTTGTTAAATTCGGAAACATCTGTGGCCTACTGAGCACTTACTGAATGAATCTTGTACAAGGGATGATAAAATGGGATTAAAACATAAAAAGCATCTCCCGTCTTACTCTTTGCGTCTGCGTCCCTGCAGGAAACTGGCCCATTCAAAACACGTCTTCTTGCTGCCCACCCAGAAAACAGAAGGGATCCCCACCACCAGCATCATCAAGTATTTAATTAGGAACAAAACCAAGGCTGGCTGACTGGTCTGCTCCACCTAGGAGAACAGAAATGTTAAATGTTAGCTCAAAAATCATCCAATAAAGAATAGAAGATAGAGTGAAATGCAGAGCAAGAAGAACAGAGAGCTTTCATTATTCAAGGCTGGAAATCTGCTTTGTAAAAACATTTAGGTACCGACAGTAACAGTCAATACTCACTAAAGCTTTGGATGTCACTGAAACTACTCGCACTTTGTGTGACCAGCAGTGACAAGTGTTTTCGGTCACTGTAAATGATGTAAGAGGGATTGAAATTCTAGAAGAATGGCAACTGAGATGTACAGCTACTGCTTTCACCTCAGCTGGACTTGGACTCTGCTGCAGGATACAGTAGCTCCCACCAGAGGGCAGGTGTGTACCGTGCTACGCTGAGTGGGATCTTTGCAAATAGCAGCTAGTTTAAAGACGCTTTTAGATACCAAATTCTCACATTTTCTCAACTCTGATATCTTGAAACATCCACTAAGAACTGTACAAAACAGAGCAAATTTAGGGAACGTACATTTAAATGTGAGGTATAAAGTTTTTCACTGCACAAGATTTTATCTTTCTAAAAGATTAAACTTAAACGAACCATCAAGCACCCAGCTGCTGAGGTCAAAGTCTGTTGTGGTAAAAGTAAGTAAGCTCATTCAATATTTTTCTCATTATATCCTAACTTTTCAGTCTGCTCTCTCACACCAGGGTGCAGACTGACATGGCAGGATGGGGATTAAAACCAAATTCCCATTCAGGGAGGACAAGTTTTCAAAGGCGTGGTTGCAACATCAGTCAAACAGTCCGGGTGCCAACAGAATTTCACAGAAACAATCACACACCCCAGATTTTCTAGTTATATACAAAGCTACAGGTGATCTTTAAATTAAATGTTTTTAAAGACTCATTAAGATTAACAATTAAAAGCACTTTTAAAAAGCTCAGGTGTTTCCCAGTTTTTTCAAAAGCGTGACCCAGAAGAATTAGCTCGCATTTACTAGCCTTAGTTTGTCCCACCCAGACTGAGATTAAATGTCTCAGATTTAGGTCCTGAGATTAAAAAAGCAGCCCTGGGCCTCCAGTAAATTATCAGTCCTACACATACAAGTAAAATCACTTGAACAATGCCCACAGAAACTTCAGCTATCCAAAAACATGCAATTGTACCCTTGTACACACACACGCTAGCAGTTGCATACAAAACGCCTCCAGGGTAGAGATCAAGTAACAGAGTAATATTGAAATTCCAGAGCTACAACAGGATGTAAGGACGGTCACTCGTCAAGTGCTCACACACACACACACACACACACACACACACATACACACACGTAACATAAGCACTTACACTTGCCACCACACGCTGTCATAGTTTGTTACAAATTAGTCTGTTCTATTATCAAACCACTGCACTCATGACAAATGGAGACAAGCACTTGCTTGAAGTGTGAAGTTATGTATGAAAGTGATTACAAGCTTTCATTGTGCAGTTATCTGATTATTTATTTAGGACAAGAGTGTATGTATCGTCACACTCCCACCACTCTTCCTAACCGCAACAAAGACCTTAAAGCAGCAGGGCATGACTGAGCAAACCCTGAAGCCCTGAGTGGGAGAGCAGAGGGGTAGGACGTGGAGAAGTGAAGATAAGTGTGTGAGAACCAGCTGAGAGACAAAGCAACAGTAAAACAGAGATGGCAGTTTTGTGTGGAGTTAGTCTTGAGAGTTGTATTAGCTGAGCTAATGATGCATACTTCACTCTGATCCCTCTCCTCCACAAATACCTGCTACTCACTCAGCCACATACATCTTTTATTCTCACTCACAGTCTGTCTAATGGAGGAAGAACACTCAGACCAGAGGGCCAGATGATGAGTCAAACTTCCTTTACAGATTAAACTAAGACTGTTACACACTGAAGAAGGTGCAGCTGAAACCTGCAAAACATATTCTTTGTACTCTTGATGTAGACTGGTTGAATGCATCAAAAGTTTTTCCTGCAGCAATGAGGCTTTGCAATACATTGTATTGCCAAAAGATTCATTTTACTTCAAGTTCACTAGTGCCACCTACTGCTAAAGTAACACATTGCAGCCAAATCATCAATTGTGCCATGAACATGGCAAATTTTGCAGCAACAGCGTTGGTGCAACTGAGATAGGAAAGGAAAACAAGAGCTGAATCAAACATGATTCAAAAACTCACCAAATCCTCAGTACTAAAATGAGCAGACTGGCAAAGTCTCATTCTACAGACCAATCAACTACCCTCACAAAAGGTTCAGGTTTCCTGCTCCTTATATCAACAAAACTAACTGAAACACTCGATTCTGCAAGAAGTCGAGGCCTTGTTTGTCGCTGATCACGTCATTCTCTGAAAAAGATTCAAGCCTCGATACGAAGCTTCAGTGGAAACTAACGCAAGCAGTCGAGCCACACTTCCACAGCCTCAGTAACATTACTATCAAATAGTAAATTACTCCATCTATCAGCTGTAAGTGTCCTTTTATAGATACAATTACCTGGTTTAACTTGACCTACTGTATCTACTGCTGGTCCTGGTCTGTTTACAACTTAGACACCTTTTTTCTCTCAAAAAACATACAACTGATCTAATGAAAAGTACCATATTCTACACAGTCAGCAACAGAGTACTTCACACCTGCTAATTTTGGCAGCGTGACAAGTCAGTGTGTGAGTGAGACAGCTGTAACAGGAGTACTGTGCTTGTTTTCAGGGTCCAATTGACATAATTCCCTATTAACCAGTGAGGCATAGGCATAGGAGCATTCCATGGTCTCACACACATTCTCACTTCCCTCTCTCTGTACCTTGTATGGGCAGGGGATATGATAGCGTCTGCAGTTTTCCTCCATCCATGTTGTCTCCCAAATGTTCCGGTAGGTGTGTTCGTACAGATAGCAGCCGATCACAGTCAACAACGGGACAAGGTAGAGCACTGAAAACACGCCCATTCGAATCATGAATTTGACCAGCTTGGTCTGGTTCTCCTTCTCTAGGGGGATCTCCATGCGCACCCGATTCAGAGCCACAATGCCCACTAACAGAAGAGATACACCGACCTAGAGAGGGAGAGACAGAGGCCCTGTAAGAGGTTTCACAGAATTAAAATGAGCAGGATGACTGTTGGGCATCACCATCAACCATCCATCTCTCCAGAAGTCCAGCCAACAGTTCACTCTGGTGTCATTTCATCCACCATCTCAATCTGTCCTACTCATCACTTCTTTCATCTTCCCAAACACTCATTTATCTTCTGATTGCACTCACCGCCACGTTGAGGCAGAGCGGTGCCAGAACAAACCACCTCAGGGCATCTATGTCATACAGCCCTATGAAACACACTCCACTGATCCCATCGCCTTCAATTTTGTTCAGGGCCAACAGGGTGACAGTCAGGGCCCCTGGGAGGCCCCAGGCAACCCCATGGAAGAGGAGGGCTTTCTTCTCAATGGCCTCACTCCCCCATTTAGGCACGGCGGCCAGGAACCAAGTGATTGTCAGGATGACCCACCATACACTGCCAGCCATGGTGAAGAAATACAGGACCATGAAGAACAGGGTGCATGCCTGAAAGAGAGCAACAACCTTTGTCAGAATCTAAAGGATTTATGCCTGTGATTTTCATATGAATATATCAAACAGCAGGCAGTGCATGTGTGAAAGCTATAAGAGTATACAGTACATGCATTTGCTTAACTAAAGGAAATGTATATTGGCGGTACACTTAAATTTTCAGTAGTTCAAACTGCTATTTAAATTGTTCTATATTAACTTAATTATGATGAATCATGTCAGAATAAATCAAACTTAAGATGTTTCACTGAAACCCAGATTAAATCTTGAAACAATTTTTGAAAAAAGGCTTTTAAATCTCTACATATCAGTGATTGTCCTGTGGCCAACTGTGTTTACCATCTTATACCTGACAGGATTCTCAGGAGAGGAAAAAAAAAAAAACACCAGCAAAACGTCAGTGTGGTCATTCTGGATGGAAATGAGCTGAAGCTCTGACCTTGTTGTGGGAGCCCTGCGTTATGGTTGAAGCTCTGAAGTGGGAGGGGCTGACAGTGTTACATGCTACCCTGTCTTCTAACAGGAACCCCAGGAAAAACACCAGAGACACCATGACGTAACACACAGCATAGAAGATGATTGGACGCTCAGGGTATCGAAACCTAATAAGGGGAAAATCCAGTAAAAAGAAAAAATAATGATTTATGATAAGTTTTGTTTCTGCTTTCACTTCATTTTGGTGCAGTTCTTTCACAATTTGCTTTGAAAACATCTAGACTCTATAATCATTCTGCTTGTTATAAATCATATTCATTAAGTTGTAAGATTTAAGACAACTTTGACCCGTTCAGACCTGGTGACATCAATAAGAAACGTCAGGAAGGTGAAGAGCGTAGACGATCGACACGACTCCGATGAAGTATCGGATGAAGGTCAGCTCCTGCTGGTTGAAGAACATCGAGGGACACGGGGCAGAACAATCCTTCCTGCCCATGAAAGTGTAACCCAGGTCTGGGTCGACCTTGAGCTCTCTGGGGCACCAGAAACCATAGTCCCTCTGGACTGTCATGGAGGACTGGTCAGTGGGGTCTGAGCCTGCTATCAGATCCTCTGGACGAGGATAGGGTTCATCACAATCTGGAAACCTGGAGGGAGGATAATTATGTCAGATTATGCATCTTAATCTGATTGCAATTTTGCTTGGAGCATCACTGACAGAGATGGGATGGACCAGAAATACCTCACAGTAAAATGAATCATACCACCACAAACTACAGCCTCCAAACTGGCTGGAAGGCTGAATCAACACTTCTCTAAAACAACTGAACAGTATAACCTTTGTTAAAGGCAGGATTTTATTGCAGGGCTGTTGAATCAGATTGTATTATTTTTAGCCAGGTCTGCCCATTTAGGAAAACACCTACACAGAAGCCAGATAAGACATAGCTAGATCCCAGGAAGACAAGTGCACTTAAAGCTTTAAAAAAAAGTGAGACAAGGAAGAAGAAAAGATGAAAGGGGACTGTAGCATGACATGGAGGAAAAACCAGAGATGCTAGAGGCTGAGTTTAGGGTTAGGCTGGGGTTGAGGTTGTCACAAGTTTGAAGAAAAGCGGAAAGCACAGAGCACAAGAACAGTGCAGATTTGGGGTGTATGCAAAATATATTGCAGGCTGAGTCCTGGGTAAATATAGAGCACATGTTCAAAACAAGCACAACAACATGAATGCCTGTATTATCAGAGAGGCTTCAACATCCTGTGCATGGCTACTGAGCTGCTTTAAAATGCAGTACATACCTGCTGCACTCCATGTCATCTGGCCAGGCTACACCAAATATCTCCATGAGTTTGTGGCACTCGTCTTTGGTCCGCTGGCATAGGGATTGACATGGCATGGACACCCGGCCATACACAGTGCACACCGGAGCATACAGGGCACACAGGAACATCCTCAGGTCAGCACTGCACACTAGGTTGACCATGGGATGAAAGGGCTGCAGGGGAGGCAGAGACAGAGAAAGACATTGTTTCATTTTTGTTTGAATGTGCTACAAAGGCATCGGATAGAGCTATATAGTGCATCACAGCCATACAATGGTCTCTTGCACACACCCACACATTTCATCCTTCCAATGTTAAAGCTCAGTATCAGCTGAATGCAAAAGAGTGAGATTAACAGACACAGGCTCATGAAAAATGAACTGCTATTAGTGGCGCATATGAGAAGGCTCATGCGTGTATTTAACCTGATATAAAGGAGGGAGGGAGAGGACAAGTGCATTTCAACTCCTCTGCTGCAACTTAAACTACTCACTATTCCATCAGCATTTAGAAGCCTATGAAATATGTATAGAGGCAATCATATTACCAAGCATCCATTTGAAGTAGGGGACAGCAAAGAAACTCCTGTAGGTTGTGTCAACACACTGAACAAACAAACAGCAGGGATCAGCACATGCTAAAGATTTTATATATGGTTCCCTGTAGTCTAAAGGTTAGAGAGGCAGGGTAGTGACCTTCAGGTTCAAATCCCCAGATTAATTTAAAAAATGATAGTAGTGGGGAAAAACATCTCTGAGAAAAATGAAGCCAGGGTCTTGTTTGTGGGCCTTCATATGATAGAGAGAACTACCACTGTACAGACAGTGGCTTCACTGGTGTGTACTGCAGTTTAAGGTACTATAAGTAGTCGTAGACTAATATCTTAAAAGAAACATTTGTGTGAGTTTCTGCTTTTGTGCAGCACACACAACCAATACTGCGTTTTCAACATGGTGTGCACCGTGTATGGCTGGGTATCATTCTAAAGTTTTCAATACCTGTATCGATACCTCGACTTCACTTTTATACTTGTTTCAATACCAATTATATAAAATCAATGAAGAAAAGAAAATTACAAAATACACACCAAAAAAATACACACACAAAAAAAAAAAAAATTCCCCACTCGCCCCCCACTTTGGGGCAGTCTTGTATTCCTTCCTTCAAGCTCAGGTCCTCTACCAGAGGCCTGGGAGCTTGAGGGTCCTGCGCAGTAT